CCCACCATGTTCCATCACAACCGCCATCCGCAACTCTTGCCGACGCTCTGTAGTCCGTGGCGCGCTTACTCCCCTCTCCTCCTTCACCCACCCCTCACCCCCGACGAATCTACGTTATACAGCAATAATCTCGACGTCACATCTTGCAACGTCTTGCGAATGCCGCCGCCGCCGCCGCCCCCCGCGCGAGCGTGTTCGATAATACTACTAATTGCGGAGGGGGGGGGACGGTTTGCTTTACAAGCTGACGAGATCAAAATTGCTTCGAGCGGAACCAGCACGGTGAGTGAAGTGGTAATTCGCAGTGTTGCCAACCCCATAACGACGACGACGATGGTATATATAGTTTATAATATATGTCTCCCCAATTACATTACTCACAACCACCCCCGCCCAYCACTATACCTACCACTTTGGACTACGCGCGCACAGTATTTGATGATCTGGACGGGTAAATGTCGTGTTTATATAATATATTAATATATAGTTTTAATGGCATTATCTGCTTGACCACACTCATCACTTGTCCGTTTATTAATATTAAATATGATTTAATTGATCCATTATTAATATTATGCAAGCATTGTGACGTTAACTATATAAAATCAGCTCTATAATATAGAAACTAATATTTTTATCATGATTTTACAGCCGCAGTACTTGACATACATGCACAAGATCCATTTTTAAAATACGACAGTTTCTGTAATTTAGTAGTGCCTATTATAGCCGACTGTTCACACCGACTGAACTATATACCGTGAGTATTGTATGATATACGTAGTTACGCGTATTATACCTATAATAAGTTTATATAAGAGACGAATGAAAAAATACACGGAATAGGGTTTATATCCGTATAGTGATAACGTGACTTTTGAACAAGTTGATCTGACTAAACAGTTTGGTGATAAAATATAATACATATACATATACATAGGAATATAAAAATAGTATAACGAACGGTATAAAACGAATTTGAAGGCAGCTTTAATTTAACATTTTCGTTTTTATGTTCCATTCAAATTAATTAACGACGTCGAGCACAAGGTATTAAAGGAAATTAAATCGGATGAAAATTAAAAACGGCTCTCGGAAGTGAATATTAAACCGCATAATCTGCGACCTGGTATTAATAATAATAATAATAAAAAATAAAAAACACACGAAAACTGCTCTTTTTATATACGCGCAATGGAGACGATTTTTTTTACGCCCTGTACGTGCCCTCACCTCAACACATTCGCGATCATTTTTTTTTCATGCCGTGTTTTTATTATCATCATTTTATACATTTAAAACAGGCGGGCCAAGTGCTCTCCAGGGCGTTTGTCATTTGAATAAAAAGCGCGCGCAATGTGCGGTTGAAAAGTTTTTTAACCTGCACCCCCGACGGTATTAATTTACATTTTGTGCCGCCAACCCATCCTGCTCTCTCGCTGTACTGCCGCCTCCGCCGTCGTCATGTCGTGTGTATATATACATGAATATACCGTAACAACGGGTTATGTCATTAAAAAAAATAATCTACCCCAGGACAAATTAAATAAGACCGGAAAGGGATGCATATCTATCTATTGTCTGTACTGTATATACATACATGTACGCTAGCACGCAATCGTTTTCGACGGAATTTTACCACGCTGCTAAATTGAGCAAAAAACCACGTGCGACTATCAAAACTCGCAGTTTTACTATTATGAATATAAGGCGGCCCATTAACTTAAAAAAATGCTCGTTCAAAACCTTGTTTAATCAGCTAAAAATTTAATATATAAATATGTACATGCAATCCATGGTGAGTGTGAAATTTTTCAATAGCACGTGGCCATAAAGTTAAGTAAACCTACAGAAGTTAGTATAGTTATCATAGATGAAAAATATGAAAATCTCTAACGATAAACTTGACAAGCGTGTTCAAAAATCATACCATAATATTGGTGGCGTATAGGAAATAATGGCATCAGTTAGTGATATTCACTATAGTGAATCACAAAAGTTAGCATAAACCGAAAAACACTTTAAACAATTTTTTTGTCTTTGTTTTTTAGGTGGGCACCTACACAGTTTAATCGGGGTAAGTCTGTTAAGGTCTTACACTTCTCATCAATAGTATATGATATCCATTTAAAAACGTGCAATAGAAATAGAAATATTTTGTGTATATTTTTATGTTAACTGAAAACAAATACATATTACCTACATTCCAGAATGGACTATTGAGAATGCGAATTCGATGTACCTATACATATATAACCTTAATGTAATACATACAATTGATGGATTTTCGGGGGCGTACATAATAAATATACACCTAATATATATTGTATATCAAAATGAAAATATGCGGCACGATTTCTCTCGTATTTTCTTGTTTGAAAAATCGCGCGTGTAATTACCCGGAAACTTTGGGAAATTGTGCGTGTAAATATACGATTATATAGCTGCAACAGTGTATTTGTATTATGCCCGTGGAAAATATGAGCACACGCGGCTTACCTATATATAATAATGTTATATACAATAAATAGGTACATATATATAATATACACGATATTCGTATACCATATCACGCTCACCTCTATGAACACACACACACACACATATATATAGGTATATATTATTATGTACATATTTGTCCGGTTAATTGCGCGTGTATAGCGCACGTTGTGATTATGTATTCGGTCGRGGCCCGTGGATAGGTTGAGGCGGAGTGGCTGAATAATATAATAATATTAATAATGGAAACGTTAATTAACCGAATCAAAATCGACCCAAACGATATTGTTATACATTATAATACGCACATGTATAGATATATATATATTAATTATACCTTCAGTACAGTAGTACACCTCCATAATATTATATCGGGATTATACGCCATTACGAGATTAATAATAATTAGTCGATTGCGCCGGACGACAATAAAACACGTGGTATATATATTTATATATATTATATAAACAGCTCTGCGAGCGGAATTGCGGGTCGCGGGTAGGTTGTTGGATCCGAATTATAATTGGACCGATGATAGCTGGACTCGGCGATCCCGATGGACCTAATAGTGCACGAAGCCTGTGGCCAGCAGGTATTACACCGTGGAGGGTATCTGCCACACATATATAACGTTAAAATATATTTATATTATATWATGATGGATTTCGTTCGTTGGAAATCGAATGATGGGTGTACAATTTAATATATGTACGAATGATGTAAAATCGTTTTTTACACTGCAGAAAATAGAATAAATAATATATTAAATAATATAATTTATAATGCAGTGTAATAAATATGTATATACGCGTACGATACGTGGATGGGGGACCGGAGAGGCGATAAATCATCGGAAGTAATCTGATTATGTCGCGGGGTCCGTCGCTTTTTCGCCAATTCCCGGTGCAGGGAAAATGAAAAAAAAAATCCTTGATGTATGCGCATCAACGTCAAACGAAAAACTCGGCCACCGCCGTCGCAATGTTGGCCCGACGCGCGTACGATAGATTTATTAGGTCGGTAACACAAAATCGTTTTTATCCATATTTCTATTATTCCCGAATTTATGTTTTCACCCCAATTCCGTCATTCGATCACTAAACTGCAGCAGCCCGTATAGTTTATATAATTATATTTAATAACATCACATGGCTGCAAACGGTTTAGTGCTATAGGTGCTGAAATTCTGATCTAATAATAGATATTAAATTKATTTTATTTACGAAAAATAATCTGAAAGTACATCAATATACCTAATGAATTTTAGAAACGCAGTTAAGACTAACTATGTATTAAAAACTATAATATATTACATATATGTGCCTATAAAAGCATGTTTATACTTTGATATATAAAGCACAAATTTACATGAAAAATATTATTATAGATACCGCAAACCGTGGTAAAAGCGAAGCAATAGTTACAAGGTGATGAGACTTTATGTACCTATGGCCAACGTAGACATTCATAGTATTACCTATAAAGTATTGTAACTATATTACCTTGAAACAGAAAAATCGCGGGGATGAATAATATATATATATAATGATGATTATGACGGTAG